CATCCCTGGCAGTGTTGAAGGGCAGGTTGGATGGGGCTTGGAGCAACCTGGGCTGGTGGGAGATTGGATCCTGATGATCTGTAAGGTCCCTTCCAACCTTCACCATTCCATGATTCTATGGAAAAACCGCCTGCGGGCACTAGGGGGAGTTTCCCTGCTTCCAGCCTGGGCAGACCTCTTGTGCTGAGCAGTGGGAAACATCCCTGGTAGTGTCAGGTGCTGCCAGGCTCTCCGGGGGCTGTCTCCAGCTCTATGTTTCACCCTCCCCTTGCAGTATGCCCTTCATGTCTACAACGAGGTGATGAACATGGGCCAGAAGTACGGGATCCGGAACGCCGGGTACTACGCGCTGCGCAGCCTGCGCATTGAGAAGTTCTTTGCCTTCTGGGGCCAGGACCTGGATGCCTTTACCACTCCTATGGAGTGTGGTCGTGAGTTCCAGGTCAAGCTGGACAAGGTACACCCTCTGCTGCCTGGGGGCGGGTGGGAGGACAGCTTGGAAAGCCTGCCATCCAAGTGGTAGCTTGTTGTGATGGAGCTGTGTGCTCTGCAGAGCTGTGACCCCTGTTCACGTACTTCAGAAAGGTGCTGGAAGTATCAGAAATGCTCATCACAGAATCATCAAGGTTGCAAAAGACCTTCAAGATCATCAAGTCCAACCATCCACTTTAAAACCCCTAACCACTAAGCCCTCTCCTGATACACCACGTCCATTCCATCTTCCTTCCTGAGCAGTGATTCCAGGGATCTGTGTAGCAGCTGGTGTGTGCAGTGCTCAGTGTGGTGAAGGGTGCTCAGAGTTCATGTTTCTCCCACTTCTTTTCCCTATCTGAGGAAGTAAAAGGCAGCCCTTGCACTGGGTGACATTTAATGAAGCATGAGGAGAGGGGCCAAGAACAGTTCCTCTCTCTTTTTACTAAAACATGGGAGTTTTATCAGTGTAACAGGAGATGGCAGAAAGTTCTGCCCTCCTTGTGGTGCCACCTCTGTCACTTGCTTTTTTCCACTTTGTCATATTTTTCCATGAGCCAAAATAAACAAGCAATTCAGGGAAGAGAATGTAGTGATTAGGGCTACACATGTCAGATGTGACACTTTCCCTCTGGTTATAAAACACAGAACAAGAAAAATGGTAAAAAAACCTAGAGTAGTGACATCATTTTTACCTTGGTGAAAATTGGAATGAATTTTTTGTTTTAAAGGCTCATGTCATGGGTCAGTTTCTGCCCTTTAATACCAGGTAGCATCTGGAACAACAAACTTCTGCCTGAACTGGGCTCCTTGCAGCCTGTCTTGGTAGAACATGAGTTCCAAGCACAAATTCACCTGGTGCCACCGAGCTTGTCTGCTACAATTCAGCAGCTGCTGCAGCTCCTGTCCCCTCCAGCAGTTCCTGTCCCCTCCAGCAGTTCCTGTCCCCTCCAGCAGCTCCTGTCCCCTCCAGCAGCTCCTGTAACCTCCAGCAGCTCCTGTCACCTCCAACAGCAGCTGCTGCAGCTCCTGTCCCCTCCAGCAGCTACTGCTTCCTTCGTCTCCACAGGGACTGCAGTTTGTTGGCCAGGAGGCCCTGCTGGAGCAGAAGCAGAACGGGGTGTACAAACGTTTCACCATGTTCATCCTTGAGGACCATGACACAGACCTGGACCTCTGGCCCTGGTGGGGGGAGCCCATCTTCCGCAACGGCCGCTACGTGGGCAAGACCACCAGCAGCGCCTACAGCTACACCCTGGAGCGCCACGTCTGCCTGGGCTTCGTGCACCACTTTGATGAGAAGACAGGGGAGAAGCTGGTGGTGACAACTGACTTCATCAACCAGGGGGAGTACGAGATCGAGATCGCCGGGCAGCGCTTCCAGGCCAAGGCCAAGCTCTACCCCTTCAGCTCCCTCTTCACGCAGCGGCGCCGCAAGGACGAGGTGGAACTGAGTGGCTACCAGAGGGAGTAGTGCTGACCACACCTGACCCCCCCCTCCCCTTTTCCCAAGCTGGGATCTTCTGCCACCATCTTCCAGTCTTTTCTCCTCACCCCAGAGATTTCTTTCTTTTCCTTTCTTGTCTTGCAACTTCTGAACTTTTTCCCTGGCGTGTTGCATTTTTTTTGTACATTTTAAACCCTCCATTTTTCAAGCTTTCTCCATCCTCTCTGTCTCCCTCCTCCAACCCTTTGCTTGCCAGGCTTCCCCCCTGCCCCAGTGGACGAAGCACAGTGCCCAGCATGCATCCAGAAGTCCATGGGAAGCCTGGGCAGGAATGAACCCCACCAGGACTGGTGGTGATGGGAAGGGTTGGGATGGACCTCACCCTGCTCTCCACGAACCGCACAGCAATAGAACGATCAGCTACCTCACTGGCACCAGACAGAGCATCCCATGAGCAGCAGCCAAGGGACAGGTTTGGCTACAGCCCAACTTCGGCCACCCAGTGGTTTGTTGGTTGTTTTTTTTCCTCCCCTCACATGGGAGTCAAGTAGGTTTAATCATCAGACCATGGAGGTGACAGTGGAGCTGGTAAGTTTGGCATCGTTGGGTTTGGGTTTTCTTGGTGTGAGGTCACTGACACTAAATGGCCACTGACACTAAATGGCCTGCTAGAAATATAGCTGAAGATCAATGTGTGTGTTTCACTTCTGGAAAGGCATGGGATTTGGGGTTGATTAGCAAAAAATACTGTTTTTGAGCAGGGACAGATGTTAGTGTCTCATGTTAACGGCAGCATTGAAATGCTGCATTGTGCACGGTCTCCTTGGGGATTTGCTTTCACTTCCCTTTGTTGATGTGGTTTGGTCAAGCTGCTCTGGCAAGATTGATGTAGGACTCGTGTTGATTCGGGGGACTTGAGCAGCAGGAGGTCACAAAAACACAACATCTTGTGTTTTTAGCTGCCCAGGGTGGTTTTGAAAGGAGAGGCAAAGCCCCAGTGTTGGCATCAGCCGTGGTGCTGCCAGTATTGCAGGAAACACCGGGTCTTCTGGTGGGGAGAGAGCATCTCAGCTCCTGCCTTACTGGAGAACTCATCTTCCATTTTGCTCCTCAAATCTGTTGCACTTCTTACTTCTCTCTCTTGCTGGTGCCTCAGCTGAGGGGGTGGAGCAGAGGGAAGGGGTGTGATAGTGGGATTATAAATTGCTTTCCTTAGTGCTCCTCATCCTGAAGCGCCAGGCAGTGCAGCTGGGACTCACCCCTCCTCACCTGTCAATATGAAGCCACGTGGTGAAGAAGAAGGTGGTGTGTTGCTGAATTGGATTGCACACATTTGCATCTTCTTCCCATTGTGAGCACCATCAGCAGCAAATACTGTCTTTATTTACTTGAAAAACATCTTCTCTGCCTCCACCACCTGCATTCACCTCATGGTCTTTCTGCTCCAGCATCTGTCTGAGGTTCAAATACAACCTTGCACTGTTGTCTGCCCTCTCAGCCACCATGAACACCTGCTCTTTGATCTAGAAACCTTTTTGGGGGGCACTTTTTAGAATCAGTGATGTAAATATGAGCTCATAACCTTGCCTGGATCTCATTTTCAATTTGCTTTCTGCTGCTTTCGTTGTTTCGGGTTGCACCTTCGGGTTGAGTCTGTGCTCTGCCGGTTCATGATCCAGGTGTTCTCAGGATGCAGAAGGAGTCAGACAGGCCCTAAGGCAGGAAAGGTGAAAGTCCAAAGCCTTTACACCTTAAAACAGGGTGTCAGAGCACACTCCCCCATCCTAGGTGAAACCATGGGGTGGAGAGTTGGGAAAGGGTGTAAGAGAATTAAGGATTTGAGCACGTGGTGGGGTAGGCTGAGCAGAGATGTCAGTTCTTGGAGCGTGCCCTCCTCTGGGAATGGTGAGTTCCTTTGCAGTGTGTGAGCTCCTCAAGGGTTTCAGACTGATTTTTGAGTCAATGTGCAGCAATTCCCTGGGCTCTGAAACGGGAGTGACCCCAGCAGGGCAGCTATTTGGGTGCCCTGCCTGGCTCCTGCAGGGGGCGATTTTGCTTGGTTGTCATTTCTTCCAGATTCCCCCCCATTGTTGCTCTTCAAATGGAAATGTTGCCTGCTGTGTTCAAATGAATTGCTTAAATGGAAGGTTCATAAGGCCTCTAATAGCAGTTTAAAATCCAATCACTTCTTGCATGTTTTTCCTGCACAGAGGGATGCTGTGATCCTGCTGTTCCTGTGCTGGATGTGCATATCAAGGAGGGTCTTGGTCCCTCCACTGGTTTCATGGGATGTTGCTGTGCCTTCCTTATCCAGGGAAACAGCTGTTTAACCAAAGAAAGAGTTTTATATGTGATACTTAGTACGTGTCCCAGAGCAGCCCTTCTGATGAGAGTTTGTTGACCATTTGTTATCACTGATGGGGCATGGCAGGTCTGCAGGAGGAAGCAAAGTGTAGAGCTGAGGTGAGCTGAGGTGCTTCCTGCAGCTCCTGAAGAGAGATTTTACCTCCAATCATTCAGTTTGTTCTCTGCAGAGTTAAAACTAGTTAAGACCAAACTGGGAAGTCAGCAGCATCCTGTCCTCTACCAACCACTCATCCCTGAAGAACCATTTCAGTTGCATTCAGGTTTTATTTCTCCTTGTCATTATTGTTTCTTTTCCCTCCTTTATAGGTGCCTCTTAGTTCCTCAGACAAGTGTCTTTCCCCACAGCAGTTCTGACAGCAAAATTGTGTTTCATACTTTTGACATGATGTCTGCTTAGCTTCATTTTCTGTCTAAATCTATTGACTTTTCAACACCCAAAGGAGAGAAAATAATTGTCCATCATGCTAACAGATTCAGCAGCACTTTCTGTAATGTTCTGTTTGCTGATTGAGACTTAGGAGGCTTGATAACTGTCAGTCTTGCAGCTCATTAACACCTCCTCTGGCTTTCCCTGCTATGAATTCTGATCCTTGTTTTATATCCCAGCCTGCAGTCTCCAGCTGCTGTCCAGGCTGAGCCCATTCAATTTTTGGCAGCTATTTTTAGCCTAACAATGTTAAAGAACCAGTTTGCTTTCAACTTGAAATAGCCATCGAGGGGCCAGTTGGGTAACATCTTTTAAAGTAATGGTAGATGCTGAAACCAAGGTCCTTCTGGTGTCATCTTTTCTTCCAGAGGTATGAAATGGTGAAGTAAGACTTTAATCCCTTTGTCTGAAATTAGAGCACCTAAAAAAACCCCAAACAAACAACAAAATCAGTGGAAGAGTTATCACCTTCAAAGGAGAAAATGAGAAACTGGATCTTGAATGTTGTGGTGACACAGATTTACCCTCCAAGGTGGTAAATTAATGTGGACTGTGAATGATTCTCACCCTTATAACTGCCTTTCCTGCTGAGAAAGGCAGTTTATCCTCATTCTGCCTGGTGGGGCTGTGAACCTGCTGCTGAGAAAGGCATTTTATCCTCATTCTGCCTGGTGGGGCTGTGAACCTGGGGTGGGAAACACTGCAACAGAAGCTCTGCCTTGTGCCCCTCTTGCCCAGCAGCTTCAGGGGTGTTCCCAGTGCTCCCAGTCTTGTTCTCCAGGATCCTATGGATTTTATCCCTGCAGGCTGAGAGAAACCCTTGAAGGGAAGATGACTGGAGCTTGGCATGAGGAAATAATGGACCTTTTTGGCTAGAATCTCCCATTTTAGGATAAACTAAGGGAAGTTTGGTCCTTGGGGGGGAAGTGCCACTGCAGGGGGGGTGCACTTGGCACCCAGGGTTGTGTTGTCTCCCCCAGAGGGCAGCTGAGGGGGTTTTTGATGAAACTACTTAAATGAACATTGTTCCTCTACCCTGGGAAGGGTGTTCTTGGCCAAGTGTCACCTTTAGAGTAGTGGGGGGGACCTGAGCAAGGGGCAGCACCTGTCCTTGGCAACCTCTGCCATGAAATGTTTCTTTCCAGGGGCATGATGTTGTCTTAGCCCTGCTGCACCCTTTCTGAATGATCATGTTTTGTCCTTGAGTGAGTGCTGACAGGCTTGGATAAAAGTGGTATTGGAGAAGAAGGACTTTATTGTTCATATTTAATGATCTGAGGATAAAATTAAAGCTATTAGGAGGGATGTTTTCTGCTTCAAGAGGGTGAGCTGTTCACATCTGTCTTTGCCAGGCTTAGTTTCTTCTTGTTTCCTCTCTCTTGTTTTTTTCTGCTGGCTCCAGTATCCAGATTGGATGTGCCTTGATGGGCAGTTTCTTGTTCTTGTGGCAAGGAGGGGAAACTATGTGAGACCTCCAGAACTTGGACACCTCCTTTCTCCTGCTGCATTCAAGCTGCCACCAGTCATGTTGCTGTTCCAGCAGCACCTCTGAGCCCAGCCCATGCTGCTGCAGGACCTCTCATACACAAGGTTCTTCTCTTTGCTCCACTTGGTCCTTTATCATCTGGGCCAGGCTGACTCTAGGTCTCTCTCTGCTTTGATTTAAGCTCTTCAGCTTCTAGATGGTGCAGATCCCAACATCCAGACTCCCAGGTGGGTTTGTGGCTGCTGCATATTCCATCCTTTACCCCTCCCTCTTTCTGCTCCAGGATATTCCCACTCTGGTTAACACTTCCCAGTCTCCTTCCTCAAGCAGCAGAGCACATGCTGCCCATCAGACAGCAAGGACAGTGACATCAAACCAGGCAGGGGAGTGGCAGAGGGACTGAGCAGGGTGGAAGGAGGGGCCTGATGGTGGTTTGACCCTTTGCCCACAACTCAACCACTTAATCCCAGCCTTGGAGAGATGAGCAGCTTTTCTCTTTCAAACCTTATTCTTACCTGCCTGGTTGGATTCTGAATTTTTAAAAGCAGGGAACAGGACTTGGGGAGGGAGGGGTTCATGTCATCAGAGGACTTCAAGCTGTCCCTCAAAAAAGCATTTGAACATTTTCTTTGCACTTTAAACTTTTCCTTGAGCGTGGATGATTGTAGCCCTCAGCTGGAGCAACCTTTGCGTTTGAGGGGGACAAATACCCACAACTTGAACTCTTTGTAAATGCCTTAAAGCTTT